TTGATGCTCAGGGCTATCGATAGTAAGAAGGATTTCCGAGCATGCAGTCTGGAATTAACTATGTTTCAGACCAAGAAGGAATGCAATTATCTTCCGACCAACTTATAAGCAGCACAAGTGGTGAAAGTATCCTACATAGGCACTGGTTTTCGAATCACACACTTAGCTCCTACTGGTGAGATCCACCCAATTACACAGCATATATACATAAAGACTTGATTTTTCTGTGGACAATTTTTATATTTTTCTTTTTACTTTATTTCAGAGATTTTTTATATTTGATTATTTTGTTTATATTTTTGGTGTTTTTGTGGCATTCATTTTTATAAACAAAACAGATTTAAATTTGTCATCCATTTTTCATAACTAAAATCTTCCATTCCTCTTATTAATTTCATAGCCCACCTCTGCACGTTTTCTAGTGTCAGTTCTTTAAAACAGGTGCCCAAAATTGCACAGCATATTCAGTGTGTGGTCTTACCATTGATTTATAAATGGGAAAATTATATTTTCATCCCTTTTTATGCATGACAATACCTTACTGGCCTTAGCAACAACCCATTGCTTATTATTGCCTAGTTTATTGTCTATAACAATTACCAAATCCTTCTCATTTGTTGTTTTCTCTAATTCACTACCATTTAGGTTGTAAGGTGCTTGTACATTCTTCACCCTGAAGTGCATAACTTATTTATCTTCATTAATTGTTAATTGCAACATGACTTTCAATGCCTATTTTAAGATAATTTATAAATATGTGGAATAAAAGTGATCCCAGAACAAAACCTTTAGGGACAACACTTACTTTTGTCTAGCTTTAAATTTAAATTAAATACCCTGGCAAAATCCAAATGTCATGGCACCCGATTAGCACTGCCACGTGACCTCACACCAGTTCGGTGCGGTCAAATAATTATTAAGGAAAGAAACTTACCTGATTTCCTGAAGTTCACCACCTGATCCACTTGTGATACAGCACCCAGCCAGTGTTGTATTTTTTAGGATGCCAGCCACTTCAGTCCCACGGTGTGACCACGTTGCAAATGGTGTGAACATGCATGTATAATTACATCATCGACGCGCACACATGTTTTGGGGTCAAAAGGACCTATCCTGACTAATCATAATTGTTTTAGGGTTATTTAAACCCCAAAGTGCCTGTTATCCATGCCTTGTCATGATTTTTACTAGCTGATTATCAAAGAGTGCATTCTTACTGTATCATTTTTGCCACTTTCAACTTGGCTTATTCTTGACTATATCTGTTTCTGGTATCCTTGACCTTTTGGATTGACTTCTCAGTGTTGTCTCTTGCTGTGTCCCTGACTTCGGCTCATTCCTGACTGTTCTCTGTTACATTAAGCCCGACCATTTTTAGGCCCAGTAATACATATTTAGTTTTTTTTGTGTTTATCCTTTGCTTTTCTTAATACTGTGTGTTGGGTGACACCAGGTGGGTTACATCCACTGCAACAACACCTGATCTATACTTCTATTTACTTACTCTGTAGAATTCAATTTAGTTAGTTGGACATGACCTACGTTTCATAAAACCATGCTAATTGTTAAAAACAATCTTCTTCCCAATGAGTTCCTGTACATTCCATAATAACCCTTAATATACTTCCACCTTCACAGAAGTTAAGTTCACAGGTTTAACATTTCCAGGCAAGATTCTGAACCCCCTTTTTTTAATATAGGAACATTTGCCTTTTTCCAATCCTCTAAAGCAACTCCTGGCACAAAGGAATCATTTTTTCCACACTTAGCTCATTAAGTACTCATGGGTGAATACTATCAGGCCCTGGGACCTTGTTTATATTAACTTTTCTTTAGTTACTACAGCACTGTATATTATTTCATTCAATCACATGTTCTGCAAGTTTTTTTTTCAACCATCATTTGCACATCTCTTGTTATAGGTTCCTTTTTGGTATATGCTGGAGAAAAACATTTTTTTTAAATGTCTGCCTTTTACTGATCTTTATTTACTAACATACCCATCTCTTATTCCAGAATATCCAAACTTTTTTGTTTTTTTAGACTTTATATATTTAAAAATCATATTCAGGTTGGTCTTGCTCTCTTTGGCTATCACTTTCTCATTTACCACATATATTGCCTATTTACTGGCACTGTTTGCTTCCTTACATCTTATATTGGATGCCTCTGATTTGTCTGATTGAAATGCTTTAAATGCCCTTTTCTTATTTTTAATGTCTTGGTTTACCCTCCCACATACTGTACTGAGATGTGTACATTTCTAATATTTGTTTGGAGATGTTCTAGTTATCCTCAGTATTCTTTTTCATTAAAGAGTTTGCCAGTCAATGAGTTGTAAAGCTGTCATTATCTTATTGAAGTTGTTTTTTTAAATGTATTTATAACATCATTCTAAATGTATTTTGATTTAAATATATATGTATATTACTATCAAAATACAGTTAGAACAAATTTAAACCGGTATATGATTTTTTTAAAATTTAATTTTATTATATTTATTTTATTTTTTTAATTTATTTATTGATTATTTTACATATATATATATATATATATGTATATATATATATATATATATATATATATATATATATATAAAATTAACATTATTCTAAGTGTAATTTAATATATATTTATTATGTATTATTATTAATATATAATTATATAGATTAATAGTAAAATACACTTTTAATAATGATGTATGTATGTGTATATAAAAGTACTTAGATCATATATATATATATATATATATATATATATTAATGAATATATATATGATAAAAGTACTTTTATTTACTTTTTTGAACTTTTATTTGTTTTACTTTACTTTTCTGCAGGCATTAGAGGGACTGCCTGAGAGGTCAGGCAGGTAACCTGCAGGCACTGCACAAGCTGGCTATTCCAGCCATTTGATTGTGAGGACCCCGCGATCAAATGGCCTGGGGGGGCCAGATCAGATGCAGGGGACTATCTAGGATCACAGGCAAGTCCCCACATCGTGATCTCCGGTGTGGGATTGCCAGCGATCAGGTAAGTGCCTATTAGCTATCGATTGTACCAGGTACGTCTGAGGTCGTTAACGACCATTTTTTATTGGAAGTACCTGGTAGTCTGAGATTGGGAAGGGGTTAAGATTATATGTTTAAGTATAACCCATGTGCATTTCTTTTTTAGAGTTTATTTCAAAATACACCATATTGTGATCACTATTTTCCCAAGTGCTCCTTTACTTGAATGTTTGACAAAAGATCAACATTGTTTATTATAACCAGATACGTACAAGCATATTTTGTAGTTGGTGTTTGTCATTTAATGGATTCAGGAATCTGATTCCCCTAGCTGAACTACTAGTCCCTCCATCCAAATTTATGTCCATGTAAAATCTCCAAGAATTAACAAGTTACCCAGATGTGAAGCATTCCCAGTTTGCGCTAACATCTGTACTTCCTCACCAATATCAACATTAGATGGTTTATAAGATCATTAAATCATTAATTTACCTTATTTTGCCCCAAACAGATATCTACCTATAAGTCTTCCACATTTTCATCATCACATACCACTTGCTTAATATTTGGATTTAACTCATGGCTGATACACAAACATATACCTCCACCTTTCCCATTTGTTGTATCCTTCCTAAATAATGTGCAACCATTTAAGTTAACTGCCCAGTCCTGTGTCTCATCCCACCATGTTTCCATTATGCCTTTCATGTAATATTGCTAACTGTATGCTATTGCCTCCAATTAACTCATTTTGTTATGCGTTAGTAAGCATACACTTAATATTGACATGAATTACTTGTACTGTATGTACATTTTGACTACATATCTCCTCTGTTATCAATTCCATAACAGTTAGCACTTACTGCTTCCACTTGAAGTCAATTCAACAGATCTCTTTCCTTTATGTGAATAGCATTTTCTCATATTACCAATTAATCTTCAATTCTCCAACTTTAAATCATGACCTCTTCTTAGGATTCTTCTAGTTCTAACATGAACATTTCTTTTTTCAGATTTGTTGAATATATGTAAAATAGATTTTTCCATCATTTCCACTCCCCCATTTTATATTAGAGTATTGGACCTATGCTACTCATTAAGGTATGTCTAAATGATTTATTTGCCATGAAATTGGAAGTAAGATAAGTAATTCTGAAGCCATAATGTCAAAATCTGTAACACTATCCTAAAAGACGCCTTTTCAGCGATCAAATGTAAGAACCATTATTTAATGTTTTTGTTTTCTCCTGAATATGCTTGTTCCTATAAATACTTGTATCCTCAAGTCTTCTTTGCTATTCTGTCTGTTTAGCCTGGAATAATATATATTTGACATCCGCGTTACTTTTGTTCTTAAGCTATTTGCACCAAAGTTCCATTAAATATGTATACAATTTGGAATGTTTGTGTCCTAATACTACTCTACCTGAGTAGGCTTGATGTACACTATATTCTGTTGTAATTAATATTTTTTTTATATTAAAAAAAGATTTTAGTAACACTAATTGCATTTTGGCCGTCTATAAAACCAAAGAGTGGAATGTTAACAACAGAAATACAAGAAAAAAAGAAGTAAGGAAGGGTTATGTTTTAATTATATATACAAGTCCGCTTTGAAGTGCAAGCTTTCAAGACACACATGGCTGTTCTTGTTATAGTTGCAGCCTGAAGAAGAGGCCTGTATGATCTTACAAGTCTCCTTTGGGCTAGTTTCTATTGGAAGAGATAAGCACATCTCAGCTAATTGAATAGATCTGACCCCATAGTTGTCAATAAGAGAAATGTTATTACATTTCCAGAGGTGTATCAAGCACTTTGATGGTTATCAGTGACGACTTGTTTTTTTTTATCTTTATTTTCTTTAATAGCTATTCATAAAACTGAACAACTGGACATAATTAACAAAATATTACACACTGAGTAAATATTGTTTAATAACGCCAAGCCATATAAAATATCATATATGCAGAAAACAATCTAATACAATGTTATGTTTGCTATTCAAAGTTTTATTTTTTGAAAAAATATAAATTTTCATATCTTACACTACAAAAAGACACATGTACACAACCAAAATGCACACATACAATTAGAGAAGGGATTAATCACAGCAATGCAATTATTTTTACATATGGTGTTTAATGGCGACCATGGTTTATCGTTATACTAACTGGACTTAGCAGATGATTTTTACAATATTGTTCTTGAGAAACAATTTATTTCCCATTCCCAACAACTATAGACTGGAATGTCTGTATATTGGTTTTTGTTTGTCTTTTTTTTTTTTTTTGTTACGCATAACCAGGCATTATTAGTTTTGCTGTGTGTCATTAGAAAAGCGTTGGTCTTTTTGAACTGTCTCTCTTATTCAATGCATTGAATATCCCTCTAGCAATCACAGAAATGTATTATTTAGACAGTTATGTGTGAGTTATTAAAAAAAACTGTGAATTCAGTCTTAACAATTAAGTCCTCGGATATAAGATGTCTTATAACTCAAATTAATCATTTAGAAATCAAGGCAAGACATTCTGCAATGTTGTAAAGTTGTTTGCAGAATTTACACGTCTTGAAAAGGAAGCAACTCGACGATTTTTCCGTTAATACAAATGGACGCTCAAACTGACTCTCCTAGTTTTTATTCATTAAACATGAGTTTGCTTTTTCAAAAACAACACATTGGCTTATAGTGTATTGGTATCTTGTAGCATTCTGTTTAATGGTGATAACGATAAAGAGATCAATATATAAATATATTAATAGTTTTGTTATTGAGCATATAAATTGATATAAAAGTTAGAATGCATTACATCAATATGTTTTGATATATGTGTTGTCTAGTATGTCTACCTAATAAACAAGATAAAGTAGATGATTATGTCAGGACACAATATATCACTACATAGAAGTTACATGCTATACAACAGATAGATAGATAGATAGATAGATAGATAGATAGATAGATAGATAGATAGATAGATAGATAGAGGATGTATTCTTGTTATGATTTCTTCTGCCTTCCATTCTGCTAATAATATATTAGGATAAATGTCCTGTTATAACAATGGAGAAAAGTTGTTATAACATACCGTACATTGTTTCTGTATTTGAAATTTACAAATAATTATTCCTACAATATGTTATTGGGGAAAATGGTTTTAAAAAAAAGAATATTCGTTTTGAAGGTTGGTAGAATAAACAAACATCATATAATTTATGAGTTTGTGCACTGTCACTGAAACAGATTATTTTGTTTTCAAATTTAATGTGAACTGAATGACTCCCAAAAAAGAATATTCAAAATTTACTGCCAACCCAAAAATACTTATGAACAGTGCATTGCAGTAAATTCCATGGAAGTTACACAATTGATTAAAATACTGAAAATCACTTTTAACGTAAGTGATGCTTCTGTATTATTATTTTAAAATCTATATTAAAGATTTGATTTAGGTTTTTCTCTATATATATATTCTAAGTCAGAAAAATGCAACATGTTTATAAATTATAGATAAGGAGACAAAATGGAGCTGCACAGTTCAAGGATAGAGGTAAATACAGCCATGTTAATATCTTGCTTTAAATTTTATTTTTGTAAGCTCAGGAAAATATATTTGCTAAATACAGAACATACATAAAACAAATATTAAGAATCCTGGGAAGTAAGAGTTCCCCTTTAAAATGTTCACCGAAACTAAAATGAATGAAAATGCATATTCTGAATCCTAATATAGTTTGTAAAAACAAGTATTGAATTCAAATACATGCAGTTCTATCTATGTAAAAATTGCTGTAATTGTTTGGTGAAAATAAGGTATTCACCAGACCAGTGGTGTACACACGATCCATGGGGCCCCGGTGCGAAAATTGATCTGTGGGCCCCTTTACCCCTCCCGGCGCTTACTCTGCGTGGGCCGGGGCCGCAACACATGGCGGCTGGAACTGGCCGCAGGGGTCACAGGGCTGCGACCCCTGCGACCGCGGTATGTACGCCAGTGCATGCAGATACACATACACTTAAAGGACCACTATAGGCACTCAGATCACTTTAGCTGAGATAAGTATATAAATCTAGAATATGCATATATGCAAACATAGAAGGCAAATACAGAAGAAGACTCAATAAGTTGAATGCACCTTGGAAGATTTAAAATGGGAGAGATGAGTGACTATAATTAGAGGTGTGAATAGCAGGTGGTATCTGAGTTTCTTTCACATTACAGTGGTACCTCGGTTTACGAATTTAATGTGTTTTCCAGGACGTTTTGCATTGCGAAAAATTCGTAAACCAAAACGTGGTTTCCCATAGGAATGCATTGAAAACTAATCCGTTCCGGAGGTCAGAAAAAAGTAAAAATGAGCTGGCATGGAAACCAACCCACAGCTGGGGTCCTCGCGATCACATGGACCGAATAGCTGGCTTATGCAGTGCCTGCAGGGGCAATCCTCCTCATGCCTGTAAAAAAACTTTTTAAAAGTTAAAAAAGTTATAAAACTGTTTTTAAATTAAATAAAAAGTACTTAGATCACATACATATGGGGGGAGCCAGATTGGGCAGAGGGGGGTCTGTCTGTGCTCCCAGGCACACCCCAGCATCGTGACCGCCGGCGTGGGATCAGCAGGGACCCGGTAAGTATGAAGGACGGCGGGGATCTTAGGACCGCCTAAAAAAGGATGGCATAGAATGCCCGCCATCCTTAAGGGGTTAAACACGATAAACAAAAAAATATAACAACTAAATAATATAAGAAAAGTGTCCACCAAATAACAATAATAGCTTCAAGGTGCCAATACTGGCTTGGACAGTTGTCCACAGGCAACCAGGCAGGTTGCAATAATTTCCAAGATGTTTATTAGTGAAAAGCAGTGTGTAAAAACAATAATATACACTACCGCGATAAAGTCCTTAATATAATACAGCAAACGCGCTTCAACATGAAAGTTTTCATGCAACTGAAGAAGACTTTCATGTTGAAACACGTTTGCTGTATTGTATACTCTTATTGGCACCTTGAAGCTGATAACATAGAGCCTGTTACGACTCTACACATGTGAGTGCAACCATACATTTGTTTGCTTTTTATTGTTATCCTTTCAGGTTACACTATGTACTGTTATAGTTATCTTTTATAGACTCCCATATATTGTATCCTTACCAATAGAGATGTCGCGAACTGTCCGCCGAACTGTTCGTGAACTGTCCGCTGGCGAACAATAGCGTGTTCGCGTTGGGCGAACATATCCGATTTCCGGTCCGCCCCCTATACGTCATCATTGAGTAAACTTTGACCCGGAACCTCACAGTCAGCAGACACTTCCTGGGAGGGAGGGTCTGCTGCTGATTGGGTGGAATGTGTCTTCTGGCTGTGAGGTTCCGGGTCAAAGTTTACTCAATGATGACGTATAGGGGGCGGACCGGAAATCGGATATTTTCGCCCAACGCGAACACACTATTGTTCGCCGGCGGACAGTTCGCGAACAGTTCGGCGGACAGTTCGCGACATCTCTACTTACCAACATTTGGACATTCATTGGGTTATATACCATTAAGTATATTTACTTTTTACCTTCTATTTTTGGCACTGGGTGTTGTGTATATAAAATAGTGGTTTTACTTCTATTTATAAATTTTTCGGTTTATTAAATAAAGTGATTGTGATTTTTATGTAAATATATTTTTATTTATTGTATCAGCTTAGATATGTCTATATGGGATTTTAAGAGATAAGATTTGATTACAGATATTGATGTGCATTGAACAATATCTACCACATAGTTTTATGCTATTAACTTATTTGAAATGACCTTCAGATGTGAATTGGTTACAATAAGTGACTCTGCAACCTGTCTTTAAGAGATTAAGAGATTTGTCTTCAAGATGCCTGTTTCATCTGGTATTTTGCAAAGTAAGTGCTTTGTACTATCTAGACCTATATATAATGTCATAGATCACAAAAGCATTAACCAGAAACAAAAGAACATTTTGCAGCAAATACCACCGCAACAACATATGTTAAATGTCATGAATAAAAAGAAAGAATATTTGCCGTATGAACAATGTTTGTTTATTGTGTTGCCTGTCAATTTAGAGTATGTAAAATAAAATTAGGAAAAGAAAGAGCATGTATAATATTACCTTAATGAGACACGTTTGCATAAAATCTTAAGTTAAAGGGACACTATAGCCACCTAAACAACTTTAGCTTAATGAATCAGATTTAGTATATAAATCATGCCTCTCAGGTTTCACTGCTCAATTCACTGCCATTTAGGAGATAAATCACGTTGTTTCACGTTGTTTCTGTTTATGCAGCCATTGCCACACCTCACCTGACTCTGATTGACACAGCCTGCATGAAAAAAACTTGTTTATCTTTCAATCAGTAATTTACCTTAACCCCTTAAAACCGGAGGGCATACTATTACGCCCTATTCTAAGTGGCTCTAAACGCAGCAGGGCGTAATAGTACGCCCTCACGGTTTTTCTTACTTATCTGGTCGCCGGCGATCCCGCGCTGGCGATCACTGTCGGGGGACTCACCTGGTATCCTGCCTCCTCCAGCCCCCCTCGGCCATGTGAGAGTGAGGTCCTTGCGGTTAGCTGCCTGCTGCATTGCCAGCAGGGGGACTGCCTGTAATGACAGTTAGTCCCCCTGCTGGCTGAATTTAAATAAAATAAAGTTAAAATCAGTGTAAAAAAAATATATATATATATATACTTAGATCATATATATGGTATATATATGATCTAAGTATATATATATATACACACATATACATACACACACATACACTGTCTAGGTGTATTTTACTATTAATATATATATATATAATTATATATCTATATATTAATTTCAACTTACACGTAGACTGATACTGATTAAATATATATTTCATTATTGTTATATTTATATTTGTATATAATATAAAAAAAATGTAAATACGTTAAAAAATAAAAATAACAAATAATAAAAAATAAATAATTAAAAAATATATATGTGTGTTATTTCGTTCTAACTGTATTGTGATATTAATATATATTTATATCAAAATACACGTAGAATGAAATATATATATCTATATACATATATCACTATATATAAATACCTATATATAAATACAAATATTTTTTTAAAATGATATATACATATATATACACATACGTGTATATATATATACATATATTAATTCTACATATATATTTATGTAATATTTTTACATAATTAGGTATCTTAATTAATTACAATTAGCGAGACCTGCCTGACAACCCATGCCGAAAGTATAGGGAATTTCATTTGCTAGCACTATATTTAACCATATTTGTGTTCAGCGAAGTCTCCAGAGTACAACAGTACCCCTCATGTACAGGTTTTATGGTGTTTTCAAAAGTTACAGCGTCAAATATAAGGCTTGTGTTTCATTTTTTTTCACATTAAAATTCGCCAGTCTGGTTACGTTGCCTTTGAGACCCTATGGTAGCCCAAGAATAAAAATTACCCCTATGATGGCATACCATTTGCAATAGTAGACAACCCAAGGTATTGCAAATGGGGTATGTCCAGTCTTTTTTAGTAGCCACTTAGTCACAAACACTGGCCAAATTTGGCGTTTTTTGCATTTTTCACACACAAACAAATATTAACTCTAACTTTGGCCAGTGTTTGTGACCAAATGGTTACTAAAAAGACTGGACATACCCCATTTGCAATACCTTGGGTTGTCTACTATTGCAAATGGTATGCCATTATGGGTGTAAATTTCATTCCTGGGCTACTATACAGTCTCAAAGGCAACGTAACCAATCTGGCGAATTTCAATTTCAAATGTAACATGCTATATTTGACCCTGTAACTTTCCAAAACACCATAAAACCTGTACATAGGGGGTACTGTTTTACATATAAGACTTTGCTGAATACAAATATGTGTATTTTATTGCAGTAAAAGCAAACAGTATTATGAGATTGACAGTTAAAATGTCATGTAGAACTAAAAAAAAACAATATTTCTTATTTTCTCCCATTTTTTTTTCATATTAAATTATGTTTCATAGCTAAATATTTGATATTAAATGAAAGCCCTGTTCTCCTGAATAAAATGATAAATAATAAGTGTGGGTGCATTTAATATGAAAGAGGTGAATTACGGTTGGACAGACATGTAGCGCAAATGCCAGGTTTTGTTTACGTTTTGTTCACAACGTGTACATTTGGCTCAGTCCTTAAGGGTTTAAACAATTTTATCTATTGCTCTGTAAATTGAACTTTAATCACATACAGGAGGCTCTTACAGGGTCTAGCAAGCTATTAACATAGCATAAAGGAAGGATAAACATTAGATGACACTTTACAGGAAGTGTTTATGAAGGCTGTTCAAGTGTGACTATAAAAAATGATGGCTAAGGCAAAGAAAAAAAAAAGAAAAAAATTAGGACATTAAAATGAACCAAAAAACATGCCCAACATTGAATGGAAAAGTATCGGTAATAAATCTTCCTGCTCTGTTAGAGACAAACAGGGCTTTCACTATTCCACTGATTTTATTTATGATATTCATGTATCATAATCGTACACAAAAAGTAACAGAACATCAAAAAGTAATGTTCTATGTTAGATCTGGGCGCAGTGGCATACATAGCGGGGTCGCAGGGGTCGCGGCTGCACTCGGGCCCGGCCCACCAGGGGGCCCGGCTGCCCTGTGACCAGGTATGTCCCCACTGTGGCCAGCCTCTTCTCCTGGGGGGCCCAGGAGCCGGCCACCTCAGGGCCCCCCGAGGCTGGCAGGCTGGCGCGCGCGCGCGCGAGGGAGCACTCTCCCCTGAGTGCTTCCTCTTCAGCTCCCTCTTCAGCTCCCTCGCGCACCGCACTGATACCGGAGCCGGAATATGACGTCATATTCCGGCTCCGGCATCAGTATGCAGCGTGCGAGGGAGCTGAACAGGAAGCACTCAGGGGAGAGTGCTCCCTCACGTGCACGCCAGCCTGCCTGCCCGGTGACACCAGGGCCAGCCTCGGCCGCCCAAGAGCACCACTGGACCCCAGGGGATACCCTCAGCACTCCCTAAGGTAGGGAGGCTGGGGGATTAATTTTTTTTTAAATAACGTGTGCGTGTTTGTGTTAGTGTGTGTGTGTGTTAGTGTTAGAATGTGTCTGTGTATTAGTGTTAGAGTGTGTGTGTGTGTGTTAGAGTGTGTGTGTTAGAGTGTGTGTGTTAGTGTTAGAGTGTGTGTGCGTGTGTTAGTGTGTGTGTGTGTTAGTGTTAAATTGTGTGTGTGATTGTGTGTGTGTTATTGTGTCTTAGTGTGTGTGTATGTTAGTGTGTGTGTTAGTGTTAGAGTGTGTGTGTTAGAGTCTGTGTGTTAGTGTTAGTTTTTGTGTCAGTGTGTGTGTGTTAGTGTGTGTGTGTGTGTGTTAGTGTGTGTTACTGTGTGTTACTGGGTCCTATGTCATTTCACTATGTTCATATTGACAAAAACAGTCACGTTATCTTCATTAAGCCTCTGGCAGCTGTTCACAGTTCAAAGGACTTTTACTGTAGCAGCAAAGTAAAGACTTAAAATATATTTTAATGTCAATTATATTACATGTATACCAGATTATTGATCTAATATTCATATTGAATAAAGGGTTACCAAGCTATTGCCTTGTCCATATTTGGCTCACTGACAACTCATCGGCATAAAAAAGTTAACTACTATTAAATTATCAAAAAAATTTATAACAAATTATAATAATTTATTTAAATACAAGTTTTTTTGCAGTATTATTGTCTTTTTTTTATTATGATTTTTTTTGTACATTTTGTTAGCAGTCAGATTTGTAGCCCATCACCATTTATGACGGCAATCTTCCAATTTTTTAGTTCAACTTTAATTTGCTTAAAACATGTTTATGATCTTCTAAATATGAATGTATTTATGTCTATTTATTATTTACACGTTTGGTATACTTGCAGCTTCACAGTTCACATTACAATGTAGAATTCGAGGAAATGGCAAGTGCATTGGATATTCAAGCATTGGAGAAGAGAACCAGTCCAATTTGCGGAAGCTATTTTGATGTAGATGAAAGGCATCGAACATGTGCCAGACATACTAATATAAGGGTTACTTCAAATAAATCTCAAACAGTATATATCCTTTAGTGATAATATCTACTGACACAAGAGGACACTGTTAGAGACAATATAAACCTTGACAAGACTGTTTGAGAAAAATGTGTAATATGCAGGACAGCCAGTCATTAAAAAAACACTTAAAGACATAACTGTGACTTTGAGGTCAACTTCCTTGCTGGTCACCATCAAATAAAAAATTAATATAAAAGAAAAACATAAATGTGTATGCGCAACAAGATCCATATCACAGTATACATGGACTAAATGTCAAGTAGATGTTTCATAAGTCTAGCTAAGCTGTGAAGGTACACGCCTAGCATATGCCTCTATTATGCTGGGAGAGTATTTTATTAACCCCTTCACTATTAATGACTTTCCATTTTGCTAAATACTAACCTAACATTTATTTGAAACATGGGATAACTAACATATAAGTAGGATAAAACAATATATAGGCTGCTGTTTTAGAGATACATAGAAATAACCTTACATACAATTACACAATTCTCATATCTGATTCATTCATTTGGAGCATTGCAGAAGTATTGGTGGATGTAACAATTTAGCTGTTATATTGTGTCCCTTTTCTTGCAATATGTCAGTTGGTTGAAACATTAGCATGCTGTAACACCTATATCCAGTAGCACGGTTACTCAAAATTGTACTATGTAAGGGTTTGCAAGAAGTTATTAAACTATACCTTGGTGTACTGACATTAGGTCCTCTTTCCTTCTTAATCCCTGTGCGACTCTTAAAGAGACACTCCAGACCCCTAAATTACTTTAGCCTGCTGAAATGCTCTGACTGTAAAGTGTGAAGTATGTGTCCTTTTTTTGTTGTTGTTGTACAAAAAGTGCATATTTCAACTGAAATTGGCACTTTTATAAATGAGCCTGGTTACACCCACTGGCTTTCAAGCCAATGACAGGTACTGTTACTTCCTGGTTTGGAACTGCAGTTTTGTAAACTGTTTTTACTTAGATATATACCAAATAAAAAAAATTAAAAAAAGCATAATGGTGATTTTTTAAATTTTATTTCGGCAGTGGAGTGTCCCTTTAAAAGGCATGAATATAGTTTTTAAATCAAACATGCAAAGTATGTAAAAGGATGAAAATGGGGCCTGCCGTTTGATTCCCTATTTGCAGTAATATATAGGGATGGAATGAAGAAGAGAAATTAGCTTTGTACACTTTTAACTTTAATTCTAGACCAAGAAGGAAGGCCGGTAAGGCTTTACAGGCTAATTTTGAAACCAATCAAATGCAAGTAAACCATGTATACACAATTTTGGCAGTGAAGGCGTTACGAAAACACTGTTACTTGTTCTAGTGTTGGCAATACATAGAATATGATGGAGATGTTTTGTGCCACCACTGATCTCGAAACTGCTGAATAGAGACATATAAGAGCACCCATGCAGTAATTAGGCAAACGTAACAGCTTTTAAATATTCAAAATAATAAAAATAATTAATAATTTTAAAGATTTTCCCAATTAATCTGTATTACACCTTACAAGAGATACTCCAGGCACATTTTTCACACTGTACATTGTTAACAAATGTGCAATTGAGAGGATGTAATGAGTGCAGAGATGTATGGTCATTGCTAAACATGCCTGGTGTTTTCCTATACAAGTAACTCATGTCCATTATAACCTCCACTGACATTCACTAAAGTCAATAGGCACCCGTACGGCTCCACTGTGCATGCATAATATGCTCTCATTCATTTCCTTGGGGTTAGAAGCGGACATTATTGAATGTATGCTGCTAAAAGAAAGAAATTCCATATTTTTTATATATTTTTGCAATGTATTTTTTAATGACGGCATATTTGAATTCATTATATAAATAAAATAATTTTAAAAATGGTAACAAACCACTCCTTGGAGCTTCCCTTTAAATGTTAGTTTGTCAGGGAACTCTTATTTTACAGTACTATGTTATAGGAAATATGTATCACAGTGAATATGGAATATATTGAATGTAAACTTTACATATGAATGAAAAAGCTAGCATTTATAGGTATTATATTTTTTGATATATGTGTTTTTTGCCTCATATTAACTACTTTTGGCTTATGTGTACCCTGTATTTAGTAAGTTAGTTGTTTGTCCACAAATTACAATATTTCTGGCAGGAGAAAATATGAGGAACTTTTTTTTTTAATGCATTTTGACACGTGTGTCATAAGAACATCACAAAAATACAGGCAGAGTGGAAGCAAAAAAACCTATACTGGATGTGTGTAGCAAACTTTACACTATATACATTTTCATTAAATCAGTTATTAATCTCACCAGAGAGCCAACTCATATGAATTCCAGAACAACAGAAAATAAATATATTGTATTTGCAATTGATCAAGCAACATGTTTATACATTAGCTTTTATATCACAATGCTGTGTAACAGCATTTATTTTAATTTACAAAGAACCAAAAACAAAAAAAAAACAAGATATTTAACTATCAAGAAAATCTAAACATATTGCTCTTCAATACACTTTTGTAGACAATTGAGACTTAGTAAACGTCAGTAAACTCCAGCTTTATCCTAGGCAGAATGTGGCTACAAAACTTTGTTGTAAATAATCCATTCAAGTAAGTCATTGGAAGTGTTTAGCGTGCTGCTACAATGAAAGCACTATCAAGATGCTATATACAATTCCCGTACAAAGCATCGTGGGAAGTCCTTTGCTATAGAAGCCAAACAATTGGCTAACCTCACTTACTCTCACTATCCAGTTCCAGGTCCCATGCATGTTGCAATTACATTTGAAGAATGAGGACACAAACAAAATAAAAAATAAATGGAAGTTGGAGTCAAATACTGATTTTGAGTTTCTCGATGTATGTCCATTGTGCCATTTTTAGTTTTCTATAGCACTATACTTCCCTTTTTGATTCATTTCACTTTTCTCTTTATCTACGAATCTCTGGGCATGTTACAAAGTGCAGGCTTGCTTGACTGTCAAACATCATTATTACAATGGTACCATTCCATTTAATAACTGTGCCCTCATTTCTTGGATACTGTTCATTATTTTCTTCTGATGACCAGCAAGAGTAACACCAAATCTCCTCAGATCTCTGAAAAGGAAAAACACAAAAGGCAAAGTCAGTTTCCAAAAGGGAATAGACCCCAGCGTATCTCTCTCACTTCCTTAATTATGTTTTATTTTCATGTTTTCAGCACAAAGATGCTATCTAAAATAGAAAGGATTATGGTAGAGCCACTCCAAATTGAAAAAGGAGAGGCGCTATTAATTCAGATCATTAAATAACACATCATACCTTTCAATGGAGCCGGATTGTTAATGGTCTTATTAACTCTCATAGACGGAACTGTAGCGTATAAACTCAGTAACACTAGCTTCCCATTAACATAATAATATAGATAAACCCTCCATAGGGGGTACACTACTGACTGAGTACAAGAGAAAAATACAGCTTCTAAGAGCTAAAGAGCCACTTTGCGATATGAATTCAATGGTTTTACGACTTTAAATGGCATAAGGCAGCAGCTGTACCAACTGTTTAAAATGTAAAATAAAGGATGTATGGTGTGAGCTGCTGAAATGCTTTTATTTAATTGAGTTTGGTTTTCAAGTGGTATTAACCATTTGTGTAATCAAGGGGTCAGTCTGCTATTCATTTTTGTTCCTAAATATTTAAACCGAAGTGAAGGGAAATGAAAGGAAGGGGTTTCTATTTGCTACTAACAGGGGTTCCCATTCCCTAAAAGTTATTTGTGGAACTTCTATGTCTCATCTCGTTTCCATAAATGGAAAGGAGGCAGTGGAGGAAGGGGAAAGGAAAGGGGAGGTAGAGCAGGGAAGGGAAAGGGAAGCAGAGGTAGAGGAGGGAAGGGAAAGGTAGGGGAGTGAAGGGTAGGTAGAGGAGGGAAGGGAATGTGAAGGGGAGGTAGAGGAGGGAAGGGAAAGGTAGGGGAGGGAAGAGGAGGTAGAGGAGGGAAGGGAAAGGTAGGGGAGGAGATGGGATGTAGAGGAGGGGAGTGAAAGATGGGAAAGGGAAAGGGAGAGAAAAGGAATTTACTCTTCACTGAATTTTCCGCATCAGCAGCACATGTACAGCTTCTTCAGGGACCAAAGATTGGCTAACAATTCTCAGACAATCCTGGCCCTTTCAGTAGGAGTGCAAAACTTGTTCCATAAACTCGCGATTACTTACATTAGGTGCCAGCAAACCTCATTGAATTGTATCATTTGAAGGCATGCCATGAGCAAATTGCTAATAAATTGTCCCTCTTTAGCATCACTATTTATAATATAAATAGTGCGATATTACACAAAACAAACTTCACAAAGGTCAGTACATTCTGAACATACAAAGCTCACAAAAGGTATTAAGAAAATCTACAAAACATACTCAACACACAACTATAGGTGAGAACAATCAAATAGTGCCAAACTACTAGATGTTGAAAATGCATTCAACAACGTTTTTGGTGGAGGGTCCATGTCCTTGATTACTAAATTAAAAGTAATGATTACAATGACATAGACTAGGCTACAGTAATTTACACTTGTCCAGTAACGCTGATGAATTCAACGTCAAGTCACTCCCTGTTAGTGAGCATCTTATTAACTTAATGGAATCATAATCCAGGCATGACCAGCTATGATAAATGCTGCATCAGTGATCCAGTAATGGCCCATACATTTGCATACCAAATTAAATAATCTTTGTGTCATATATTCTAACTCTCAATGACGATGAGAATCTTGCCAGTCTATAAAAATGATGACAACATATGTGATATTGCGCCAGTAGCACAAAAAGAAAATATAAATGAATTAGTATATTATTAATTGTATTCACAGGTCAAGTGAGAAGTAACTATTTAAGAAACATATAATATATAAATATAGATTTGTTTTTACTGCAACTCATCTTTTCTCTCTGTTGGTTACTTTTTCTAACTTGATCTGTGAAACAATTGGCAGTAAAATGCACCTCAGTGTTCTGCAAATAAATACATGACATTTATATTATATTTTGAAGTACACTGATTTGTCCATTTTAGCACCCTTTTGGTTTATCTCCCAGGCAAAAATAAAATTTTCAGCTGTGCACTAAATAATTAAAGAATTAAATTATAAATTGTACTTGCTGGAGGCTTGGTGGGGGTTCAATAGAGATTGGTGGTTCTGCCTTGATCTACAACCTTTTTGGGGATGGCTTATAGACATCATAAAATTGATTCTGACAATCCTCTCTACACTCACCCCATCACAGGTTCTTTTAGGATTGCCCAACGCCTTCCCTTATCAAAACCAACAAAAAGTATTAAAAATGCTCTTTTGAGAGGGTAATGACAATGATTCCTGTATACTGGAAGCAATCCCAAACAGCTGAGCAATGGGTGGTCAGAGTGGACAATACTAGGGAAATGGAAGAATTCCACTGGGCGGCTAGAGGAAATAAACATGAGTACCTAAAAATTTGGATTCCTTGGATAAACTAATGGCCACAGCACCTTAGAGAACAATTTGGAGCAGCACAGGTCTCAATACCTTCTGTCCATCAATCATGAGATAGTATATTTGACTCTCTTACAATCACTTGTTCAACTTGCTGTTCAATATAGCTTGACATATTTAGACTGTTACTCATTTAATAATAATAGACATCTTGAAGCCATGCTTTCTCACCATCCTTAACTCCCATACATTTGTAAACAGTAGACCACAATCGTGTTCTGATTTTTACGTTTTTAGACTAAGAATTGTTAGTTCTTTGAATATGTACCTCTTATCTGTTAATATTCATGAATTACACTGATATACCATTGCCAATCTCATGTTATGTGACGGTTTCATTATGTATTAACTGTGCATTACTATGACCATTTTTCATGTACTGATTTATTTCTTCAATAATGCCCTCGCTAAATATATATATATATATATATATAATAGGGAAAACATTATAAGGAGAATAGGGAGTTTATATTATAGCTAAGTAGAAGATCAAGGTTTGTACATATGAAATTAGTCCTTCAAAACTTCTCCCTCATTTCTGTTTTCATGCTAAAGTGTCTGCAATTTCTATTAATGTGTAAATATATTATATATGTCACATGTTATATGTGAAATATTATATCAGTAGATGTTTTCCTAGATATACTGAATGAGCATTCTTAGTAAAACACGTTATAAATATAACATAAATAAACAGATTTTAAAAGATGTGTTTAGTTTAGTTATAGGACTTGCATGTTTTCATGTAAATCTAAGGTTGTTACTTACTCCAAAGTCATCTGGGTCACTGCATCCATTGAATTAAATCCATTTTCCACAAAAGTATCAGTGTATCTTGTCATTTTGATGGCCTCAAGCCATTCATTTACTGATCGGTAGGCACCATTTCCAAGAGGACTATGTTCAACTAACAGATTTGAAACCCTGTAATGATAAAATATATGTGAACACAAAATTAATGACCTCACAGGCCTTAAAATTAGCTAAAAATATGGCAGTCGTTGGTCAAACACCACACAATGCTGTTTTTTAGGATGTCTAACAGAAGCATCATATTATTGTTAGGATATTTACAACCCTCTGTCTTTCTGATATAGATGTATTATTTTATTGCAAGTGTTAGGTTTTAGCTTTGGGTCAGAAAAGTGGGCTCTGGGCCTTGTGGTTTGAAGAGACCCCTGAACTGTGTTCGGGGCAGACAATATGTGTCTGTATGTGTCTTAGTATGTATCTGTACATACAACATGTGTAATAGTATTGGTCGGGAAGTATGGTAATATGTTAGTGTGTCTGCATATGTTATTGCCTTTGTATATGTTTTAATGCATGTGTAAGTGTGTTTTTGTATGTGCTTTAAGTGTGTTAGATGTGTTATGTGATGTGTTTATAAATGCCTGATTCATACCTTCCCACCCCTCACCTTAACAACATGCTTGCAATAATCAAGAATTGGGCAAGAAAGAAAAATCAATATCAAGGATTGGTGTGGAAAAAGAATCCCCTCCAGTCATAGTCTATTTACTAGACTAGTTAGTAATTAATAATATTATCTGCACCCAAAGAAGCCTTCATTCCCATGTTACAGACATTTCATGGTATGATCATTGCCATGCCACATTTATTTAACATAAGATGTAATGAGGTGATAAATTGGTAATGTCACTTTTACTGCTTCAGTACATGCAATATCAGGCACTCTTCTGTTCCAATCCCTAGATCCTGTTCCAATTCTTAAATGAATGGGGTGGGGAAGCACACTCCATCAAGGTGTTTATGTGTTTATATAGAGAGGCATTTCATTATTGACACATAATCCTTGTTAGTCCCAGTGTTCTGCAGATATTTTACACTATAGTATGAACTGTGCAGGGTTTCTTTTGGCTTTTTGATTAATTTTGGGAATCAGCAACCATGTACTGAAGCACAACTGTGAGAAAGTGTGGTGTGAAAAGCACAAGGTTCTATGCATTAAAATTAAAACTCACATCACCATAACCACTACAGCACACTGCAGTGGGTATAGTGCCCAGAGTGCCCTAACAACCCCCCATTTAAATGGTCAGACTGTGGTAGTGATCAGCTTACACTTTAAGGCAACTTGGGGCTTAGCATAGGAGATTTATTTAGTAGAAGCACATTATGGGTACATATTGGATAATGTATATGTGAGAGGATTTTCCAAAATTTAATTTATTTATAACTCTGATTACTATTATCTGTAACTTCAATATTTAGTAACTGATTTTTTTATGTTTTTCTGTCCATTCAAAATTTTTGTCTCTGTTTCCATTAAATAATGTGCTACCTATGCTTACAAAAATACTTTCCAGAACACCCAAAATACTTGCAAAACTGCTCTGTAGTAAAGAGGTTAATGGACATTGTATATATTTTTATGTTCATTGAAGTACATTGTGTGTTTATTGTTAATTAAACATAAGACACAAAAATATAATTACATCCATTAACATAATTAATAATAAACTCAAGACAAAAGACAGGTAACTACAGCAATATAAACTGATACACTACTGACAAATCTCCCCCCACCCAATAAAAAAATTTAAAAAAAAATTAGACAACATTTTTCAGTTTAGGTGGAGCCTCTTATGGTGTTGGCCTACACCAGGGGTGTCTAAAATGCAGATCCCCAAATGTTGTAGAACTACAACTCCCATGATGCTTTATATTCATTTAAAATACATTTGGAATGACTAAGCATCATGGAAGCTGTAGTTTAAAAACATCTGGGAATCTACCTTTTGGACACCCCTGTCCTACACGATATGATATATGCTGTTTGGAAGCAGATTGTTATATCTGTATGATAGCAGTATCAGATATCTAAGCTAATTTAATTTTATCATTATTTCTTATGTTAAAATGTGTTTTTGAACAATATGCTGTCTACATTCTTTTCATCCTTCAGTCACCTGTTTGATGCATTGACAAGTGTCTTCAAACTGCTAGGATTACGGATCAACTTGTCCAACATACTGACGATTTCTTCAAACTTGGGCCTGCTGTTTCGATCTTTTTGCCAGCAATCCAACATAAGCTGATAAAGAGCAGCAGGACAATCCATGGGACTTGGCAAACGATAACCCTCCTCAACAGCTTTTATTACCTTGCAAAAGGAAATTAATCATATTTCAGACACTTAAATTTTAAATAACACGTTTAGCTAAGGGAAGACATACTGGTAGACAAATGAGGAATGTCACAGGATGGAGATAAACACTGTGCAAAACCACTGAATTTAACATTTCATTTAACTTGACGCCAGGTGAGATGAGCAGTCAATCTGGAACAAAGATGACTTTATAGTCTCACAGCAGTACATGAAAATTTTGGTGCGTATATTAAATCATAATTATATTGCTTATCTAATTTATTTTTTTTGAAGGAAATTTTCCATAAATTTCTCAACAAACTGTGAATCTTCTTGTAATGCTGTAAAGTAGAACAAGCACATTTGCTTATTTATTGACCAGCAATCTGTTCTCGCATAAACTTATTTTGAAGGCAACCTTTTCTGTAGGAACATGATGACATCACAGTCACAAAATCCCAATCACAAAATGACATTATGCTTTCACAACTCCCAACATTGAGAGATATGTAATCGAGACACAGGTAGGCCTTCTGGAGATGTGTTGCCAGTGAACAAAATTTAACTGAAGGGGCGTGTGAGCCTGGTGCCAATCACTCCAGACTCACAGACAACTTCAAAGCTTGCCCCCCACATGGTCCTTTACCTCCTTTACAGCACAAATGCATCTAATGATGCGTGTGCACTGCGCTGCCCGACGACCGCATCTGGGGACACCAGTGGAAAAAAATTGGACCCAAGCAAGAACAGACCTTTTGGGACTGTCCTGCCAAAAACGGAACAGTTGGGAGGCTAGTGCTTTTCACAAAATATTTAAGGATGCATTGCATTATAAAACAAACACTTATAGAGTTATTCCCAAAATAATTAGCAAGAGCACACCAGGAAATTTAAATTTCAAGGACAAAATAGCTGAGCTGGGAATTGAATTGACTTGGAGATTGTTGACACTTGGGCTATTTTGACCTAAATTTTGATATGCAATGGTGAATTACAGACAAAACGCAGTTTAATACATAATTCTGTAAAATATCTGTGACCTTTGCAAGAAGGGATATATTAAAGGAGATGCATTATTAAACACATTGCAGGTGCTGAAAGAAACAAGTAACTAAAACCTGGTGAAAAAAAACTAAAATGTACTTTTTTGGGACTGACATCCAACAGTTAACAGTCTCTATTATTAGCAGTACAGGAAATACACATTATTAACACTAAAAGATTTAAGATTTAAGAATAGTTTGTGATCAACAAAGCACATGATGGGAATCGACTACACGTTGGCTTTGTATTAAAATAATGAAAAATAATGGATGGCATACTAAACCACAGTAAGATCCCATTTCATGCATTTATTGTACTGTCTGTAAATAATTGTTTCATAGTATCTTCCCAAAATGAACTAAATTCCTATAATACACACACTAGGTAACTTATTACTCAGGATTCTGTTCAGTAATAATCCATATTGATAAAGTACATCACAGGATGTCCCATTTTTCACTCGTTACAGCTGTGGAATTCATGAAATCATTAAGGAGTAGGTTTCTACTCAGAGGTTCTGATCTGTCATTATACCATCAATGAGCCACACTTCGGGTTTCCCGTCAATCAACTGGCTGCTATTCAGGGCCGACTTTACAAAATGTTTTTGTACTGTGTTAAGCAGCCTATAAAAAGTATAATCTATTATAGGATAATCTATCTATCAGTAAGTTGTGGGTGCAAAGTGATGAACATTAATTTCAGTCAATGGATCATTTTGAAAGTGAAGATAGAAATCACTGCACAGTTGCAGTAAGATGACTGTTTAATCCACCATACAAAAAGAGAGTAAACATTCTTCCTCTAATAGCAGCAATAATGAGAAGAGTTACAGAAATTGACTGCAATTACTCTAAATCAATAACAGACAATTTCACAAAATCTTATTTTTGAATTTTGGAAAATGTAAAGGCCGTCATAGATAAATTAGCTATAGCTTGGAACTTCACAGTGCTTTACAATTTTACATTGGGGATATACAACAGCAAATAATTGACAAGACAAATAATATCAACACACAAAAGAGGCAAAATGGACCAAACTCTGAAGAAGAAGACTAAAGTGGCAGATAGGAGCAGATGGGAGGCCTGGTGTTAAAGGAGGAAATTGTTCAGGATGTGTACAGAAATTATAATAAAGGCAAAGAGGAGGTCACTAGATCAGAGGTTGGAGATGGTGGGGAAATTATAAGTTTGTTTCAGTAATGTGAATGGCATTGTGGAAGGTATGGAAAACAATGTAAGGATTGTCAAAGAAGCAAGGTGTGATCAGATTGCTGGGTGCAGAAGATAAGCCTGGCAGATGCATTTATTGCAGACTGCAGTGGAGCTGTGTGGGTCTTGGAGAGGCCCATTAGGTTTGAGTTGGAATAATCAATATCAATATTGAATTTATTTTGTTTGTTTTTCGTTAAAAATGTTAATTTTCAAAGCTATTTAGAGAAATTATATAGTTTGTTTGGTTTGATTGTGATTGCTTCTCTGATATTTCAATTGCCAGAAAAGGTAAGAATAAAACTAATTGTTTCACAAACAACAGTCGTAGAAAATTAGACCAAGTTCCTATTAATAATAATATAATGAATACTACATTTCAAGAAGCTCTAAACTTTGCTCACCTGTATTATTGTTTATCACAACATAGTCTCATTGAAAATGGGACCTGCCAGATTAACAAGGAATCTAGAGAAATAAATCCTATTGTGAGAGGTTTCCCACTCATTTTAGTGTATTCATTTCACAACTTAGTGTTATAGGATACAGATTACTTAAAATTGATATAATTCATTTTCCCAAAAAGTATTAAAGGGAGAAATAATTCATTGATAGTCATTGTATAAATCCCCAATATATAGCTTTTAAAGGATTTGTCAATTGGACACAAATGTGCATTTGATCAGACAGTCAAGGTCTGAAATATCCTTTTAGATAAAAAATAATATTAAAAAGTAAAAAGACATGGATCAATTCTAAAATCCTCTTTTATATTCTTAATCCCAATGGGAATCAAATGAAATATTAAATTATACAAGGTCAACAGGCTTGGTTGTATGAAAGAAAGAATGAAAGGATTATGTTTTGGTCACGAGGGGGATCTGGGTGTTTTTTTTAATTAAAATCGCTTCAAAAAATATTTGATGACATCTATCACTTGATCTGTTAAGAGCATTAGGCAGACAAGTAGACATCTGGAGATGTTTGCCACAGCTTTAGAAGAAGGCTTACCACATTGACATCAGCCTGTTGCATAGAGTATGGAGTCAGCTTGCTGAATATACTATAATTTTATAATATTAAAAATTAGCACTTTGTAATACTGAAGGTAATAGTTTGATGTTGCTCACATTTATCTCAGTTGCATTTATGGGGGTGCCTTAATTCAACAAAAGGTAGACTGTGGCTAAACCATCCAATACTTTAGTATTGTTTTGCTTTGTTCTGTTTTGCTTATTTTTATTTACGTTTTGCTTTTTGGATTATTCATCCTTGTTAAACAAACAGAACTCTTTTTACATGACCCATATAACACGTTGTTTTTTTCTAGAACGATGTTGACTATAAGTTTTACGTTGAAAAAAGATTATATTTGATGCGCTTTTTTATCAGGGTAAAAGAGATAAAAATGCATTTAATGAAATGTATGGAAAAAAAACAGCCATAACTGTATACCAACTGACATATGTTGTATATAGAAAAAAATCAATTTAGCAACATTTTACAAGTCACTTCAAGGTAAGTAATGATAGGTAAAAAAAATAACAGTTAAAGTAGAATTGCCATTATATATCTGTACTTTATTTTCCTTCTTTGCAATGGGAAGCCCGGAGCTAGGACAGGGTTAATCTCCAACATTATCTTTAGTCACTGTTCCCAGCATGTAACTTGTCTCCCAGAAATGCACATTTATTTCTACCCCATTACCTCACAACATGCATCCAAGTTGCTATTTCACTGACACTGCTAAGGGTACATGCACACAGTTTTACATACCCCACCTAATGTGCAGGCATCAGATGATATGTGCATTTACATCTTTTTACCAAGCTATTCTTTCATTGTGCCTTCTGGGTTTACAGCACTGGCGATTTGTTTTGATCACTTATTGATCACTTGGTTCATAGTGATTTTCTTTGATATGCTGTGGTTAACCTTGGGCAATGAAAGATGTTATTGACTGCTATTCCCAATCTGTTTAGCCATCTGCTGCTCCAAGGGTCCAGATAGAAATAAGGTTCATTCTTGTGCCGTTTGCTATAATTTAATTTTGCAGGTGTTCATTAATGTATTTTTTTCTGGTTTGCTTCAGTTCACAGCATTTTGCATTTCTGCGGCAATTAGTTTAATCTTGAATGTATAAGTTTACTATGTCGCCAAGTCCGATGGTAGGTGCAGTGATTGTCAGAGTTTGTACAGACTTGTACCTTGTGCTAGCACTTTTTCCGTAGTTCAAAGGGGTTTAGTGGCTTGTATTTCCTATTAATATTAGTTCATTAATTTACCTAAAAATTATCTGGTTCCTTTTGCATCTTTCTGCAGACGTAAGTCTTATTTAATAAGCTACCCAAATGCTTTGATGCCATTAGAAAAGCTTTCTACAGAAGTAGTAGAAGTACTATAAACTTCTAGATTTTTTGCAGATAAATTAGTTAGTAAGTTTTCCTAATAGTATTGAATAATTTGGAATGCTTATTAAATTGGGGCCTTAAAAGCTAGGACGAGAGTATTCAACTCTCAAATAATATAAAAACAAATATGCAATATGCAATATTTACCCTTGTGGCAAACAATAGTGAAAAAAGAGGAATTAATTATAGTAATAAATTACCCCTTCAAAGTTAGTGTGAAGACTCCTCTATGTCTTCGTAAATACAGATAAAAATATAAATACACAACCTAAAATATATAAGACAAAGAGAGACCTACACTATTGTGGTCTCTCTTTGTCTTATATATTTTAGGTTGTGTATTTTATATTTTCAACTCTCAAATAAGACATAAACCATAGTGATACTCTCTCAAGAGAATGGAGAAACCTAATTACCTGAGTAAAGATGAGACCCTTGAAAAAATGAAGCTTGTACAGCAAGGGTGAGGGATAGAAGTATCAGCATAAGATGTACTGTATATGCAAAGACATGCAATGCACCTAAATATTTAGCAGTATTCTGTGGATACTACCACAGAATATATATCTCCTATATTGAAAAGTAGTTGCTTTGATAAAGAAAATAATATATTTTAAGTAGTCCTGGTGTCAGGATCGTGACAGGGATCCAACACGCAGAATACAAACAGGGGATAGGTACGTATACCGGACCTTAGAATGGCCGGACTAACGTAAGGAGAAAGCAAAAGAATAGTCAGAGACAAGCCGAGGTCGAGGGAACGAGAGATCAGGTAAGCGAGAGACAAGCCGAGTCAAAAGGACAAGAGAGGAAAGCAGGGTCAAAATACAAGCCGAGTCAGGAACCAAAAGACAATAGAGGTAATTGCACTGAGTGACCAGACTAGCTAGAACCACGACAGGGCAATGAATCATTCCACAGAACCCTTTTTTATACCTTGGCTCTTTAACTGTTGGCTCCGCCCCCAACGGGTCCTGATTGGTTGTTCGGCACTTGGTTGCCGTGATTGACGGGTCGGAACGTGATTGCCGTCATGACGTCGGCTACTGAGCGCCGCGTCATAAAAGGAGGCGGAGCTATCGCGGCCGGCGTGTAAACGACCGGGAGGAGTGCAAGGATCGGGTGAGTCAGCCCCCCTGGGAGGATGGACGCCTAGGTGTCTAACCTCCTCCGAGGTAGACACCAAAGGTACCCTGACAGTACCCCCCCTCTCAGAAACGCCCACCGGGCGGAAGGAACCGGGGCGGGACGGAAAACGAGCATGAAATGCCCGGAGGAGACGAGGTGCATGCACATTTTCATGGACCACCCAAGACCTTTCTTCAGGCCCATACCCCTTCCAGTCAACAAGATATTGCAACTTCCCCCGAGAAATACGAGAATCGAGAATGGATTTGATTTCATATTCCTCCTGACCCTCAACCTGGACAGCGAGAGGGGAGAACTCAGGGGAGGAAAATCTGTTGCAAACCAAAGGCTTCAATAAAGAAACATGAAAAGAGTTAGGGATGCGCAGGGCAGGCGGAAGGGCAAGACGATATGCAACCGGGTTAATCCGACACAGAACCTTGTAAGGGCCTATGTAACGAGGGGCAAATTTTATGGAAGGAACCTTCAAGCGGATGTTTCTGGTACTCAACCACACCCTATCACCCGGGGCAAAAACCGGAGCCACCCGTCTCCGTTTGTCAGCGTGTCGTTTGAACACCATGGAATTCTGAAGAAGAATTCGTCGAGTCTGATCCCACAACTTTCTCAGATTGGCGACATGAACATCAACCGACGGAACCCCTTGGGAAGGGGAAACCGACGGAAGAATGGAAGGATGAAAGCCATAATCCAAGAAAAAGGGGCTAGAACGAGTAGAATCACAAACGAGATTGTTGTGTGCAAACTCTGCCCAAGGAATCAGACCAACCCAATCGTCCTGGTGTTCAGAAACAAAACAACGCAAATATTGTTCAATCTTTTGGTTGGTGCGTTCGGCAGCTCCGTTGGACTGGGGATGATAGGCAGAGGAGAAGTTCAACTTGATGCCTAAGTGAGAACAGAAAGACTTCCAAAAGCGGGAAACAAATTGGAAACCTCTATCAGAAACAATTTCAGAGGGAATACCATGTAGACGAAAAATCTCCCTCGCGAATATCTCAGCTAATTCGGGAGACGAGGGCAGTTTAGGCAAGGGCACGAAATGAGCCATTTTAGTAAACCTGTCAATCACCGTGAGAATAACAGTATGTTTTTTAGAAACAGGCAAATCGACAATGAAATCCATAGCCAAACACGACCATGGTCTCTCGGGAATTTCTAAGGGATGCAAAAGTCCACAAGGGAGCGCGTGAGGTTGCTTAGTCTTCATACAGACAGTACATGCCCTGACGAAATCCCTTATATCCTTACGAAGGGAAGGCCACCAGAAATCTTTAGAAATCAGGGAACACGTTTTGCGTGTGCCGGGGTGCCCAGCAATTTTACTGTCATGAAAGCAATGCAGCAGTTCCACTTGGAGCTCAGGAGGAACGAAGTATCGATCCCCAGGAACAGGTTTGGGAGCTAGATGTTGTTCTTTCTTGATCTCAGCAAGCAATGGCGAGTGTATCCTGACACAAGTGTTGGCAATAATATTACACTTAGGAACGATAGAAGACAAAGCTGCTTCAGACACCGTAGAGGGTTCATGTTGACGGGACAATGCATCTGCCTTAGAGTTCTTAGAACCAGGTCTATAAGTGAGCACGTAATTGAAATGTGTCAGAAACAAGGACCAACGAGCTTGCCTGGCGGACAAGCGCTTGGCCTCCCCTATGTAGGACAAATTCTTGTGATCAGTCAAAATAGTAACCGGGTATAATGTCCCCTCCAACAAATGTCTCCATTCCTTTAAAGCCATAATGACCGCTAACAGTTCCCTATCACCAATGTCATATCTACTTTCAGGCCCAGATAATTTCTTGGAAAAAAAAACCACAAGGATGTAACGGTTTATCCAAACCTAGCCTTTGGGACAAGATAGCGCCTATACCTGTCTCCGAGGCGTCAACCTCGAGTAAAAAAGGCAAAGATGTGTCAGGATGAACTAATATCGGTGCTGAGGCAAAATGTTCCTTGAGAGTTTTGAAAGCAGAGAGAGCCTCTGTGGACCAAGTCTTGGTATCAGCCCCTGTCTAGTCATATTAGTAATAGGAGCAATAATAGAAGAGTAACCTTTAATGAAGCGCCTATAATAATTGGAAAATCCGATAAATCTCTGAATGGCCTTGAGTCCCCTGGGCAATGGCCAATCTAAAATCGATTGGAGTTTAATGGGGTCCATCCTAAATCCGTCTCCAGAAATAACGTAGCCAAGAAAGTTTATCTGAGATTGGTCGAAGCTACACTTTTCCAATTTGCAGTACAATCCATGTTGTAACAGTTTGCGCAGTACCCTTCTGACTTGTCTGTGGTGAGTCTCAATCTCTCTAGAGTGTATTAGTATATCATCCAAATATACTATAACGCATTCATGCTGAAATTCCCTAAGAACCTCATTAATAAGGTCCTGGAATACTGCAGGTGCATTGCAAAGCCCGAAGGGCATTACCGTGTATTCATAGTGGCCATAACGGGTATTGAAAGCTGTTTTCCATTCGTCTCCCTGCTGAATTCTCACCAAGTTATAAGCTCCCCTCAAATCTAACTTGGTAAAAATCTTGGAGCCTTTCAGTCGATCAAAGAGCTCAGTAATTAAAGGAATAGGATAAGCATTTCTAATAGTTATCTTATTCAAGCCCCGATAATCAATGCAAGGCCGTAGAGTGCCGTCTTTTTTATCTACAAAAAAGAAACCGGCCCCGGCCGGAGAAGATGATCTCCTAATAAAACCTTTGTCTAGGTTTTCACGTATGTACTCCTCTAGGACTAAGTTTTCCTTAGTGGATAAAGGATATACCGTACCCCTCGGAGGCATAGTACCAGGTAGGAGTCTAATTTTACAGTCGAAAGACCTATGTGGAGGTAAAGTATCAGCCCTCTTTTTGTCAAAGACTGCCTTTAAATCCTGGTACTGTGATGGTATCTGTAAATCTGTAGGTTGGGAAGAGTTAACCGGGGCGTCAACCCTGCAAATTGGTGAGACTTTCTGCACACATCCTTTCTGGCAACCCTGACCCCAGGAGACTATCTCACCCAGTTCCCAGTCAATGATAGGGTTATGCTTCTTAAGCCAGGGATACCCCAAGACTATAGGAACTGAAGGAGATGAGATCAGCATGAGGGATATTCTTTCCTCGTGAAGGATACCAGTGGTTAACTTAATTGGTATGGTTTCACGAAAAATAACAGGTTCAGATAATGGTCTACCATCTATGGCCTCAACGGCCAAGGGTGTATCCCTTAGCTGAGATGGGATAGAATGGTTAGTGACAAAGGCTTGGTCAATAAAGCTTTCAGCTGCTCCGGAATCTATCAAAGCCATAGCATTAAGTACTCCCTTTTCCCAAGCTAAAGAAACAGGTATCAGAAGCCTATGATCTTTATAATCATAAATAGAGGACAAGATAGAAACACCCAAGGCCTGTCCTCTTGAGAAACTTAGGTGCGAGCGTTTCCCGGCCGGTTAGGGCAATTTAGGCGTAGGTGACCTCTAATTCCGCAATACATACAAAGACCCTCCCTTCTCCTGTACTGTCTTTCCTCCTCTGAGAGTCGAGTATGACCTATTTGCATAGGTTCTGGGAGAGCTAAAGTAGTAGAATCAGAAGTCTGAAATGAGGGAGCTAGTCTTATGGAGGATCTGCGGGTTCTATCCCTAATATTCTGCCTCTGTCTCATACGTTCATCTATTCGGGAAATAAATGAAATCAGATCCTCCAAATTTTCAGGAAGATCTCTTGTGGCCACCTCATCTAAAATCTCATCAGATAACCCGTTCATAAATACGTCCATATAAGCCTGTTCATTCCACTTGACCTCTGCCGCCAAGGATCTGAACTCCAAGGCATAATCCACTAGGGTTCGGTTATACTGTCTAAGACGTAACAGTAGTCTAGCTGCATTGGCCTTTCTTCCTGGAGGGTCAAAAGCTCTCCTAAATGCAGCGACAAAAGCATTATAATTATAAACTAACGGGTTATCATTTTCCCACAGGGGGTTAGCCCATCTAAGTGCCTTGTCAATGAGCAAGGTAATTATAAATCCAACCTTTGCCCTGTCAGTAGGGTAGGCGTGGGGTTGTAATTCAAAATGAATACCTATCTGGTTTAAAAAACCTCGACAAGTGTCAGGAGCGCCGCCATAGCGTGACGGGGACGTAACACGGGAAGAAGTAGCCACTGTGGCTACCTCTAGGCCTGTACTTATAGGAGAGATAGATGGGGTACGCATCTCCTCTGAGTGACTACTAGGACGAGATAGCAATGCTTGCAGAGCTAGAGCCATCTGGTCCATTCTATGATCCATGGCCTCAAATCTAGAGTCAGGAGAACCGACCTGAGAGTTTGTACCTGCAGGATCCATTGGCCCTGTCGTAATGTCAGGATCGTGACAGGGATCCAACACGCAGAATACAAACAGGGGATAGGTACGTATACCGGACCTTAGAATGGCCGGACTAACGTAAGGAGAAAGCAAAGAATAGTCAGAGACAAGCCGAGGTCGAGGGAACGAGAGATCAGGTAAGCGAGAGACAAGCCGAGTCAAAAGGACAAGAGAGGAAAGCAGGGTCAAAATACAAGCCGAGTCAGGAACCAAAAGACAATAGAGGTAATTGCACTGAGTGACCAGACTAGCTAGAACCACGACAGGGCAATGAATCATTCCACAGAACCCTTTTTTATACCTTGGCTCTTTAACTGTTGGCTCCGCCCCCAACGGGTCCTGATTGGTTGTTCGGCACTTGGTTGCCGTGATTGACGGGTCGGAACGTGATTGCCGTCATGACGTCGGCTACTGAGCGCCGCGTCATAAAAGGAGGCGGAGCTATCGCGGCCGGCGTGTAAACGACCGGGAGGAGTGCAAGGATCGGGTGAGTCAGCCCCCCTGGGAGGATGGACGTCTAGGTGTCTAACCTCCTCCGAGGTAGACACCAAAGGTACCCTGACAAAAATACACCTAGACAGTATATGTGTGTGTATGTATATGTGTATATATATACTTAGATCATATATATATTATATATATATATGATCTAAGTATATAATAATTTTTTTTTACACTTTTAAACTTTAATTAATTTTATTTAATTTTATTTCCAGCCAGCAGGGGGACCACCTGTCATTACAGGCAGCCCCCCTGCTCAGCCAGCTATCCCGGCCATGTGATTGTGAGGATTGCAAGGACCTCATTCTCACATGGCCGGGGGGGCTGCTGGAGTGAAGATGTGCCGCGGGGGGGGGGGCTCCCTGGGAGTCCCCCAACCGCAATTGCCGGCGTGGGACCGCCGGCGACCGGGTAAGTAAAGAAAGACCGGAGGGCGTACTATTAAGGGGTTAATAAACGAGCTAGCATTGAGTGAATGTGCCCCTACACCGTATCCCTATGTGCCATGGAAATCAGAATAATAAGGTATTCAGTATTATAAGATTTTATTTAAAAAGTTAATCTTCAACAAAACTGTTAGAAAATAGAAAACAAATCTCAAGCAAGAAAGAAAACTCACAACAAAAATTAATTCTGGAACTACAAGATCACAAATGAAAAGCTTTCTTATTAGCAGGATCAGCATTTATATGTCCCTTTAGTATCTAGATGGTTATCCTCTGACTTTTCAGTCAATCAGAGTACATATCATCTTTAAAAAAAACTTAGGAATGGAAACAGGTCTCATAAAGGGATAAATTCTCCAAATAGGGCCTAACCCTAATATAATATGTAAACAGGAGAACGTCCCTAAAGAAGGGACCAAATGATAGGAGAACCCCTTATCATGAGAGTATCATATGAACAGATGGTAAGTCTGTAACTTTAACCCCTTAAGGACCAAACTTCTGGAATAAAAGGGAATCATGACACGTAACACGTCATGTGTCCTTAAGGGGTTAAAGTGATGGATATTAAAAATTAAAAATCACTTTATGATAAATACATCATGTTAATCAATAATTTGTGCAAAAATATTAAAGGAAGGGAATTAAAATAATGCCACTTTAACACTACCAATGCAATTAGTATTGGGAGAATTCCTTTATTATATGCCAAGTTATAAAACAGGGCCAGGTTACTCCTGGCACCTAACCACTACATCAGGCTGCAGTTGTTATGATACTTGGAGTAACCGTTAAAGGTTAAAATTTTGCTTAGAAACACTCAACTCTGAGGGGTTACGTGAAACATGTTGCTTAATTTATTTAAATTTATGATGTTTTATGCCTGGAATAAATCTATTTATAGAGACTGCATCACATCACCTACACAAATTAACGACAGACCCAAAGAGATCAGGAACTGACACATTGAACCTGTTTTTGTTACACCTGATTGCTATTAAATCTGTTTTTTTTTTTTTTTCCTGAAATCATACGCAAATGTCACAAATATCTGTCAGTGTCACCATGAACAGAGACACAGAGACTGGATCTGAACAATCATAGAAAACACATAGGATTATACTGGGTAGTTTAAGAGAATAATAAGCGTAGATCACAAAAGGGCATAATTTTAGATTCTGAAAATAAAGATACTTAAAATGATGGTCGGGAATCCTTCAGTTGATGCTTAAGGATGCCAT